AACATCTCCAAACTACGATCAAGCTGCTTCTTCATATCCTCCGAAGACATTTCCAATTCTTCCATTGCCTCTTCCATTCCCTGCTTGTCATTCTTCTTCATCATCTCTTCGAGCTGATCCAACAAATCTCTCAACTCATCATCCATCAACTCCTCCAACAAGTCCTCTATTTGCTCCTGCTGTTCCAACAACTCTTTATCGACTTCCGATAACTGATTCTTTTCTTCCAACGAGTTATTCATCTGCTCCTGCATTTCCTGCAGATTCTCCAACAGTGATTTATGATCCTCTTTTAACTGCTCAACTTGATTTTGATTATTCCAGTTCGACTTCTTCGAATTCATTGTTTCGTTTCTCAACTTCTTCAGGTCATTCTTGAACTTCTCTGCCTGCTTCAACAATTCATTCATGTTCTCCTTCGTCTGCTCCTGTTCTTCTTCACGCTTTTCATTCAGATCCTCCAAAGTCGGCAACTCATACACAAACGAACGACTACGTGTTGACTTCGATCCGTTCACTCCGTCATTATCGTATACCACGAAATAGTATTCGATCTTATCCTCCAGAGCAATCTTCTCTCTACGGAAATCCACAGCGAAATCGAAAGGTGATTCGGTACCCACAACAGCTCCCGCATTCATTCGTTCCGTGCGCTCCTCTCCAGACTTACTTTTCACTTTGTAAACAAACGACAGTCCGCCTAAACCATGATCATCCGACACAACTCCTGAGAAATAACGGATACCATCCTTTACCGAGTCCTTTACTTCAGACACCTGAATTCCCGGATAATTATCCTGAATAACATCAATCTCGAAATACGATGTATCCCGTTTTCCATTAAACGCATTCGTAAGAATCACTTTCCCTTCCGTATCACGTCGGAATTCTTCACCAATTTTAAATCCAGCGTTGTCAAATGTCATCTTCACGTCGCCCAACCAAAACTCCGAAGCACTACTGTTTTTTGCTAAAACACTCCAGGCAATTTTCGTTCCTTCCGGAACTGTCAAATCACCAGCATTATCTACTACTTCATTTTCCAACCCCAGATACTTTGGATACACCAACGTTGC